TTATGTGATGGGATGGAGGTATTAGCTAACACTATGGTGGTCATATCTGACAGTATAAAAATATATCAAATCAACACGTTGTACACCTTAAACTTACACAATGTTATATGTCAATTATATTTCAATTAATCTGGGAAACAAACAAACAAAATAATAACCTGTTAAACAATATGCAAAAAGTCACAGCATTTCTTTCCTGGGGAGAAAATATATGATTCTAGCCAGGGGTGATAGAATGGGTTCTTTGACTTGTTGATTTAAAAAATCTCATGTGATACTTGCCATGACAACCTCTTTTGAACAAATTTCCCTCAAGGTTTAAGCACTTCTCTAGAATATCGCAGTGGTTTGCTGAGCTGACTCATAGGGAGAAGGAGAGGTTACATTTTTGCAATTGTAATAATGTGGGAAATTACACCCCACATCACTCAGCACACTTGAATATTTCTCATCAACCTCGAATTCTGAGATTTATTTAACTGCAAGATCAGAGTTCTAGATTTTCTTTCCCAGTTGAAATGTTTAAGAAATTTAGGTAATGTGACATAATATATAAAAACTAGGTTCATAGGAAAGTGAAAAATGCTGGGAGGGTGGCGGAGGAGGGGTGGTGGAGACAGACACTTCCTTTAGTCTGGAACTGATGTCCGGATCATGAATTATTGTTCCAGGGAAACCTGCTGTGTGTGAGTAAACCCCTGAAGTTGGACTCTCTTCCTCTGCCTGGCCCCTGTCGGCCCAGTCGGTGTAGAAAATGGTGTTGCTGCGTTAGGGGACCCACTCAGCTATGTACAGGTACATACTATGATCAGCCTGTGATCTGGGCCAGCCTTTGTCGATCTTGACCGCACGTTGGAATCACCTGGGGAGCCTTAAGAACTACCAGGTACCCGGGCCCCACCCCCCAGACGTTCTGATGGCATAGATCTGAGATGCAGCAGACCTGGGCAGAGGGATTTTTTAAAAACTCTCCGGGGGCAGGTGTTATAATGTGGCCTGAGAATCACTGACCCGGGAAATAGACAGCCGTAATTTCCATAATTTACCCAAGTCAACGAGAAGCTGGCTAGAACAAGGCTGTCCTGAGTGATTGCCACATCCCTCTGCTGGGGGAATTTAGGTCCATTTCCCAGAATACTTTGTTCCTGAACATGGTCACAGGTTCTCTGTCCCGTCCGTGTGGTTTGAATTTTCTAAGGGACAGTGGGTGTAAGTAGTGTAAACGGAGCCGCTGTCATTTATTCGGCTAAGATTTAAACATCTGCTCTGCTCAAGCTACGGTGAGTAAGGGAAAGAGCTTACCTTTCGGCATGTGATGAGTATCAGGGAGAGAAGAACTCAGCCCTACGGAGTCCGGGGTGCTGGTGCCACCAGGGACGGGGAGGTGAAGCCAAGGGCTCAGAGGAGGTAGAGATAGTCACCCGTTTCCCCTGGTTGGAGGGGTGGGAAAACCCTAGAACGCCCTCTGAAAGGAGCATACAGTAGTGAGGCTGGGCCTGGAGGACGAAGGAGGAAGAAGGATAACTGTCTGGGCAGAGGGAATGAGGGAACAATGGCGAAACTGGCAAGGAGGCTGCTTTGCGATTTGACCTCGGCCAAGAAGCATCGAGGCAAGGAGGGGAACTTGTCAGAAAGATGGAGTCAGGGAGGCCAGGCGGGTCTGGAATGAGAGCCAGTGGTCTGGGCTTCATCCAGGGGAGTGGGAGCCCTGCGGGACTGGGTTCTGACTGCCAAAGCCCAAGCAAAGGGCAAGTAGGGGCTGGCCTAGCACTATTTATCCAGCTAATGTGGGTGCTTTGAAAGAAAAGTCTGTGTTGGTCTAACCATCTCATTTGACAAAGTGGGAAAAACACCCACGTAGGCTCCACACGTCAGTTGTGTGTCCACAGGGTGGGTTCAGACTTTTCCTGATTGCTGCCTTATTCATCTCTCCTTCTCTCTGGCTTTGAGCACTACTTCCTTTCTTCTTCCCCAGTCCTCCTTCTGAGGGGGAAATTGAAGAGCCTCCCACACATATAATCTTGTTGCCTCAAGCAGTGACAGTGAAACTCTGAGTATAAAAAGATTCTCTGGTCATTAAGAGGCCTGATGGTTCGCACGGTATTTACTTCATTCTTGGCCACGTTGACTCTTAAGTAAATACGGTAACTGCTTGTTTAAAAATTCTTTTCACAATACAATAATAACATTGAAAGGTCAACCAGGTTTTGGCTCAGATGGCCAACATGCTTCTGCCAGAGATGTTTCTGGATTAATTTTATTGCTTCTAAATGTTCTTCAATGCATTTTGAGAATTTTATTTATGAGAAAGTGCTGTTAGTGGTTCTGTCTAAAAGGGGAGAGGAGGGAGAGCGATTTCCCTATAATTGAGATCACTTTGTCTAAGTCTGATTTTGAATTATCTCAGAGGTAGAACAGATTGGTGGTTACCAGAGGCAGGGGGCGGGGAGGGGTGAAATGGGTGAAGGGGTCAAAATGTGCAAAGTTCCAGTTATAAAATAAATAAGTCCTAGGATGTAATATACAGCACGATAACCATAGTAACTGTGGGTGGTGATGGTGGTTCACTAAACTTATTGTGATCATTTCAAAGTATATACAAATATCCAATCATTATGTTGTACACCCGAAACTAACATGTCAATCATATTTCAGTTTAAGAAGCATTTATTTGCATTGTGTTGGACACATTAGAGGATTCCTCCCCTCCCCTCCAGCACACACACACACACAGAAGGAGGATGTTTATGGTCCTGAAAACTCTCGGGTTCACTTTTTCTCCCATTGGCAGAAAAGGGTGAAATCACGTTAGCAGACTTGCTGCGCTGGGTCCTAGTGTTTTCTGTATGACAGGGCTAACATTTTTCTAGATAAACTTTGCATGTCTGTAGTTTCTCGGTTCTATTTCTTACTGTTCTCACATTAATTCATAACCCCATTGCAATAAGTGTTTGACCTAGTTTGAAAGAATCTGGTCATAAAGGAGGAAGGAAAAAGTCACTTCTTAAAGGTAAGGCTTGTTTATGTGCGAATCTTAGATGTGTGACACAGTCGGGAGGTAAAATACTGAAAGGTCTTAGTTTTCAATGTTGGGCAGTGTTGTCTCATAGCTGCACCTTTTCTCATCAAACCGCAGGTCCAGTTTTGGACTGGGAAGGCATCCTTACTCCAGGCTTGAAACTGTAACATGTCCCCTACCTATCTTGGGGGACCAAAATTAGCAGCAGAAAGCACCTACTATGTGCCAGCTACAGCAATAAGCACTTTACCTGTATGTTCACCGTCCTGGTCAGGCGGGCTCTGGTTTCCCCATGTGACGGATGGGGAACTGAGGCTGATGAAGCACCATTGGGATGGGTAGAGCTGGAGGCTCCCTGAGCCTCTCCTGTCTATGGGTTACTGTTGCTCGCGGCATCCCTGGCACATGCATTAGCGATGCTCCCACCACACACACTCGTGGCATCCCCGGCACACGCGTTAGTGGCATCCCCGGCACACACATTTGTGGCTTAGCTCTCCTGTTGACATAGCAAAGTAAAGTACCTGCATACGTTACTGTTAGTTACCTCCAACTCTCAGATCTCTGAACAGCTGTCAACGTTTCACTTGTCACTTCTGCACTCACAGAGCCACCTTTGATTCTCCATCCTAACTTTCACCTGGCATGTTCCCTGCTTCTTTCTTTGTTTAGGTGAATCTCACCTTGTTCCAAAAAGGACTTGAGGCAGCTTGTTTAAATGTTTGTCCAAGTCTGTATGGCCCCTTGGGGATGTGTGAAATAACGCTTGTGTGCGGGGGACACTGCTGGGCAGAAAACATTTACTCTGAGCACTTGAGCTTCAAGAGTTAATCTCATTTATTCGACCTTGAGAAAGTGCTAAAACTGCTACCTCCTGGGAGTTTTTCATTACAATCGTGGTAAAGAATATGTTTGGAAAGTATCAAGAAAAGAAACATATGTATATATATATTCCTTTAAAGCTATACAATATATACTGTATATATGTGTATACACACACACACACACACACACACACACACATTCTTTTAAAATTGCTCAGAATAAGTATACAGCTCAGCTGGGACCAAAGAAGCGTTTATCAGAGGGTAATGGTAAAAGCTGTAACTTCGTGCCGTAGTGAGATTGGAACTTTCTTTCAATCATTCAAGAATATCTAGTTAAAACATAAGCTCCTTACTGCACTTCAAAGATACGCCTTTGACCACAGAGGGTTTTTCCTCTCAAAACACTTTGTGCTGTCGCGCAAAACGGGGACATTCACTATGGAAGCCAAATTGCACTTCCTTTGATCCGCTGTAAGTTAGAAAATAAATTTCATCCTGTCGGCAGGTTATTGTTTTAAACGTCACTGCATCAGACTAACTTCTGGACAGAAACCCCGATGACACAGTTGCACAATGTGACTGTAACCTTTACTGAAGCACCAGGTGTTGAGAGACACACAGGTACACCTGGTGCCAGGTGGCCCTCTCGGCCCTGCAGGAACAGAGTCTAGAGCATCTTAAAGAAATTACATCATGAGAGCAGACCCCGAGCTCTTGATTGTAAACAGCTCTCATGGTCATAAATCCCTCCTCAGAGCCTGCGGGGGGCGCCTGCAGGAGCTTGGGACCCCCAAGTGTTGTCCTGAAGTGTCTTACCCGGGACCCCCCACCCCCACCCCACCCAGGTCTTAAGGCTTTCGTTCCGTTCACCACCTCCATGTGGGCGTATTTTGCCTGGTTGCTTGGCCCCATCAGCCTGCATCTCTGTCCTGGAGGCTTTAATGTGAAACGTGAAAACATTTCAGCACGGAGACTTGGATGCGTGTGTTGGGTCAGCACGTGTGTTGTGCGTGGCAGGTATTGTGTTTGCCGTGTGTATGTTGTGTGAGTGCGTGGTTTTGCGTATGTGGTATGTTGTGTGACTTTTCTGTGTGTGTTGTGTGAGGGTGTATTGTCTGCTGTATGTGTGTATTTTCTGTGTGTGCTGTGTAGGCCGTGTGTGCTTTGTGAATGTCTTGTGTGTTGTGTGAGTGCCCAGCGCCAGGCATGCATTTCACTGGGTGCTCGGTAAACATTTATTAAATGAAGGAAAGGACACAGTTCCTGCCCCGCGAAGCCCATGGTGCAAACTCACAGGCTGGGCTGTCAGGTCCTCGAGGACACGGCCTACCTCGTGTTCCTCCTTCTGTCCTCAGCGTCCTTCAGAGGGAGGCGACGCTGGCATACGCAAGTGTAGGGGCGCCGGTGGGGATGGATATTGTGTAACTGGACATGGTTTTGCTCTCAGGCCCAGACTCCTTGAGGCAGACACTTATTTTCCAGGTTCGCGTCTCACATCCCGTGGAAGTCCCTTCTTTATTACGGTCACAGTGTACTATCGGTTCACCCCCTGCGGAATGTAGGCTCGACGGTAGGGCTTTTGTGTGATGCGTTCTCGTATCTGTCCCAAGTAGCTAGAACATTGCCCGGCAGGTAGTGTGTGCTCTGTAAATATTTACTGAATGAATACATGCCAGGATTAATGAGTTCCAGCATACTCGGTCCAGGTCAAGGTTTTTAGCCCAGGGCAGGCATGACTGTGTCCGTCACTGAGTTTATTTTAAATCTCAGTAACTCTTAGGACCTGGCCTTTCAGGGCAACCCCTCCGGCTGCCACTGGCCCTCTCCCTTATGTTGGTGTGGCATCTGCAGGGGTTGTGGAGAGGTCCCAGCCTGCCCCCCTCAAGGGGAGTTGCCTCATCCTGCCGGGTCAGGTGGTAGCCCCCGTCCTTGGGTCCCTGTGGCCTCCTGTGTCAGCTGTGGTGTGACAGGTCTCACTGGGTGTGGGCCATGAAGCTGTTCAGTGCCAACAGCCGTGGGCCTTGCCATTGCGCCAGATGTGAGGCTCCTGGACTCCAGCTTCCTGGTCCCAGGAGCCCTTGGTCGCTTCTCCCACTCTGCTGGTGCCCCCGGGCTCTGGGATCCTTCTGTGCCTGGCTGGAAGCCGGGTCTCACTCTGCGCCCACCTTTCTGGGGCAGTTGCCACCTCCCGGGCTCCCCCGGGGGAGGAAGCCACGAGCCCAGTGACCGTAGGTTTCTACCCCTGCTTCCAGACTTGACCGTCAGAGCCCAGCTCTTGCTTCGTCCGTTTTCTCTTTCTGCGGCTCTTCCCATTGGCCACAGGCCGTGCCCTCCTGGGCTGGGTGGAAGCCCTCCCTGTTCTAGTCCAGCCCAGCTCACTCTCTGGTGTGTGGGTCCACTCTTCCCCTCTGACTCTTGAGAAGTAAAGCCCAGTTTGAGGAGCTCCAATTAAATCCCTCTTGTCTCTCGGCAAAGCCTGGCACATTTTCCACCACATTTTAAGATACATCTTGCAATAGATGATAGGTCATAGTTACTTGTCAGCATTTTCTTTCTTCCTTTCCTACTGCACCTATGACAATTAAGGACACTTGGCATAGGCAATTGTCTGGCCATGGCCTTAAACTCTACTCTGGAGTTTTAAGACAAGCAGTACCTTCTTCGTTCTAGCCTCCGTCTTCTTCTCCCCAAGGTAATGGATGCCTCTCCTGCAAAGGTAGGAAGCTATCAGGCAACCAGAAACAATTAAAGGGTGACCCAGAAGAATATACATTGTTTAATACTTTCAAGAAATATAATTCCCAGTACGAAAGATCACCCTTTTAATCGGTATAAATGGCATTAGACCACCTTCATGCGATAGGCTGGCTTCCATGCTGTATCCTGGAATACAGCTAAAGAGAAAAAAGAGCCTGGGGCTGCCGTGGAGTAAGACGCACGGACCCCTGGATAAATGCGACAGTGCTGTGCACCAGTCACAGCCGCTGAGAAGTGCTGATGCAGAGTGGGGATGAAGGTCCCCAAGACGGACGCCATTAAACACTGGACCCAGCCTTCTGTCTGATTCCTTGGTCATTAAGAACACTTCTGATGCGATTGTGGTTTCCCAATGTGTCCTTCCTGGAAGAAGAAAACGTGCTGTCAGTAAGTAATAATAGCTTGTCCCTCTGGAAGTTATAGGTTTTATTTTAAGCTAAACAGTCAGAGTTCCTTTCTGGACTGACACATCTGCCTCACAAGAACAGTATGCGTGTGAGACACCACAAAACCTGAATTCCTGAGTCTGCACAATGAGAGCCAGGCCCGAGGGCCCAGTGGATCCAGAGGTGAAGGCCGTCTTTCAGGACACTTTGGGGTTAGCTGGACGTCCTCTTTAGGAACAGGTTAACCTCAAACAGTGCCTTTCTTGGCAAACTTCTATACTTAGGTCAGAGCTTTCTATGTCAGTTCTCTCTCTGTCTCTGTCTCACACACGCAGACACACACATACACACAATAATGAACGAGTGGACATGAAGTAGAGAGGGACCAAACTGTGTAATAACCACCAAATCTGAGAAAAAATTCACTGTGAAGAGTGAGATGCACTCAGGTAGATGTTGGTGATAACAAGCGATAGGACTTGGCAATGGCAAGAACCATGAGCTTGTTGAAATGAGCTGCCTTTGCTCAAGCAAAAAAAAAAGAGAAATTGTAGCCAACCTTCAGGGGTGCCACCTAGCTTCCGCAACAGCCTGGGAGGTTGCCCGGCAGAGCCTGAGGGGTCTTTCTCTCTTCTTATCTCCACTTCTTGCTTCTCTCTTTCTATGAAAACTGCCTTTCTTTGCATCTCTGGTTCATATAGAGGAAAACATAGCCGCCCCGCGTGTCCCAGATGAATTTCTAAGCAGAATAGCACCTTCTTTGTGTTGACTCCAACCGAGACTCATAGGATGTGTTGTGTTTCAGGTTGGATGCAAAGTTCTGGGGAGAGAGAAAGTGAATGCTCTAGCTTTGGGCCTAGCAAACGCTCTTGGCCCAGCCAGCCATGGCCCAGGGTATCATCCCTTCATCCCTAGGGCCACATCTATAGACGGGAAGTGGCGGAACAGGGAAGTTGGTTCCCTTTCCTGAGAAATAGGTGTACACTGACTAGACACCAACCCAAAGACATTATATAAATGGAGCAAGGCTGAATGCGGCCTTGAGTTAAGTATTCGAGTACATTCAGTCTGTTTCCTTAAGGTGACGCTGCATTCCAATCCAGGGTGTGTCGATTCAGAAGATAACCTAGTAAAACGCCAAATTTCATCAGTCAAAGATATTTAACCTCAGACATTCCAATGCCGTGCTATTCTTATTATATGTAAAATTGTATTTATATCTTATTGGGAAAAGCATCATCAGCCCCACTTTGAGAAGCAAGCTGAGTTTTCTCATAAATGCATTTAGCTTTTTCATAATGACGTATTCCCAGAATGCTAGGCTTAAAACAAATTTGAGTAAATCAGAGCAGAAGATACCATAAATGTTAATGGCAAATGAAAAGGCTGGGGGGAACACTTATGAAGTATATCAATACTTTACGTATACACAATGATAAAACGTTACAGTTTAAAATAAGGTACGTTGATACAATTCCAAGAAAATATAAAAATACAGGTAGTATCTCATATGGGTCTTTCTTGGTGCATGGAGAGCAAGGAATGAGACTTGGAAGAGATTGTAGAGGGAGATGAAGAATAAGAAGGAGAGGAAGAGGGGGCAAAGGATGGAAAGAGGAAGGGGGAGAGGAAAGTCCATCTAAGTAAAGCACTCAGATGGCAACGCCCACGGCTGAGGCAGGAGAAGTTTAGCTGAGGATGGAGAGGAGGATGGCGGAATGGCCACCCTTATAGCTTTGGAGGATGATGACTGGGAGGGTATCCTGGAGGCTCCTCCTCGGCTACTCCCCAGCCATCTAGAACCCACCGATCATTTAGCAGGTGCCATCTTTCCTCTGCAGAACAACTTGGTAGGAAAACCACACTAGAGGATTTTCTCTTGCAACTTCCCTCATTACCTCTGCATGAAGAATAATTCTCAGCTGGGATCTAGTCTGGTACAAACAATATCTCCTTTCCCCCTTGGTCACAGGTCTTGGTAACCTTCTTATTGTTTCTTGGACCGAGGGCTTCCCCAGGCATTGAAGGGAAGAGTTTCTGAGGTGCATTGACAGCAGTCACATTTAGCAGCCAGAGTGTACACTGTGGCACACAGGTGAGGGGTAGGAGGAAGGGAGATGCTTAGAAAGGAGACGCGCTAAACGCTAAGAGCTTCTAGCCCCACTGTGGCACTTATTGCCCAGCAGGGTCAGCCGGTGTGGTTATGTCAAGCCCTCCTTGTGGTCTTGACTGTAAACTGTCAAAGCAGAGTTGCCATGAATAAAACCAAGTTCTAAAAAGAAAGCTCGCACTATCTGTGCTTCAAAAGGAAAGCTGAGCGAAGCTGAGAGGGTCTCCTTGGGGACCCGTCCATGAAAATAGACCTCTTTTGTGATGCTTGAGACACTACAAGCACCTGGTTTGTACTGGAAGACTGGTTGGAATTTGAACTGGTTCTACTGGGAGACATTACTGGATAGGTCACACACCTGGATGACGAAGGGGATCAAGTCAATGGTAAACAGGCCAACAACAAGGACGAGCCAAAGAAAATAGTGTTTCTCCTCCAACTAGTAGCTTTGTTCCAAGGGATGAGTTAAGAGGTTTATAACCATTTTTTAAAATTGAAGTATCATTAATTTACAGTGTTGTGTTAGTTTCAGGTATACAGCAAAGTGATTCATTTATACATATATTATCTCTTCTTTGCCAGATTATTTTCCATTTTGTGTTATTAGAAGGTACTAAATATAGTTCCCTGGACTATACAGTAGGACCTTGTTGTTTATTTATTTTGTATATAGAAGTGTGTATGTGTGAATCCCAACCTCCTAATTTATCCCCCCACCCCTTCCCACTATCCCCTTTGGAAACCATGAGTTTGTTTTCTATGTCTGAGTCTATTTCTATTTGGTTAATAAGTTTATTTGTATCAAGTTTTTTAGATTCCACATATAAATGATATCACATGATTTTTGTCTTTGGCTTACTTAGTACGGTAATCTCTAGGTCCGTCCGTATTGCTGAACATGGCATTATTTCATTCGTTTTTTATGGCTGAGTGGTGGTTTGTTTTGAGGGATGAGTTAAGAGGTTTGGATCAGTGGTTCTTGGCTTCAACAGACTTGATGCTCCTTTCCTTAATGCGTATTTTATAACATTCTTTTTACAAACTTATAATGAAATTCACTGATAACGTATTCTATCTCTACATGACATTAAACACGTAGCTATATTACACTAAGCATAATGTGAAGGAGAAATGAAAGCTATTCCACGTTCAGTTCAACATGGACATTTGTGGGCACCACTGAACAGGGAGACAGAAGCCGTCAGGTGTGCAGATACGCACAGACAAGTCTGTAACGTGGTAGCCGCAAAGCCAGATGGAGATAGTCTGTCCCTCTCTGGAGCTTCAGATCTCATGCGTGGTGGGGCCATCAGTGACTTTTCCCATGATGAAAAATATTTTTTTTAATTTCAGGAAGAAAAGTTCTACTTCCCCTCAATTTTCATGACAACTGCATTTCTGCAAAATTCAATAGGTAGTAAAACTGCACAAAAATACTTCCTGTTTCTATGAAAAACAGAGTTAGGTTCCAGGCTCGGGTTTTACCTACATTCAGGTTGTGTGGGATGTTTGAAAAGTTGGTAGGATGGGGGGCAGTTTGTTGTGCAGTGATGTCCTGGGTGTTGCAGAACCTCTAGAAGCCCCAGCTTCTGTCCACTAAACAAGGCACCCTCCCCAACACAGGCCAACCGAAGTACCTCCACCTCCACTTAAAACTCCCCTGGGCCATGTCCTACCTCTCTGGAGGTCTCAGAGTCTCGTAGTCATGGCTTGGAAGGGTCCTTAGTGGTCTTCTCGGCTTGCTGGTTACCAAGGGTTGGTCTGGGGAGCAGTTGGTAGCTCTTAAGACATACAGATAACCAGGCACCACCTGTAGAGATTCCACTCAGGAGGCAGGACTCTAGAATGTCCAGGAGACTCTGGTGCACAGCCAGGTTTGGCACCTCCTGACCCAGGTATCCCTCGCTCTTATTCACGGGGTCCCCTTCCCATATCTGGGGTCAGTGGCTGCCCAGCCTGGGCTTGAAGGTGCCATGCTTCAGTAAATAGCATCAAGAGAGTCACTTCTCTTCCCAGCCCACTTGTCAGCCCAGGAGGCAAGCCAGGATTGGAGCAGCTGGTCTGATGCACACGTTCCTCCTCTGGGCCTTTGCCTGCAGCAGCCCTGGAGATGGTGATTCAGACTTCAGCTTTCTCTGCTCTGCTCATTCCCCCACTGAATCAAGGGTGAGAAACACTTTGCTCCAGGTCTCCATCCTTTGAAGTCCCATTGGCTGAGTCAGCTCCCCGGCTACCTTTAGAAGGATCCAATACAGAAAAGTTGTCCTAAAACTCAAGACCTGTACATTCATGGACAGTGCCCGGTGAGACAAAACAAAGAGAGCTGAAGAGTCCTATCAGGGCTGTGAAAAAGAGCTGGACAAGCAAGACAAAGTGTTGTTAAGTGGAAGGGATGAAAAATACTGAAATCAAGCACAAGAGTTTTCAAAGTGCAGAGTTAAATGATTGGTTCATTTATTCATCTTACATAATGCAAAATGCATCTACTACATATCAGGCTTTCTTCTAGATAATGATAGTACGACAGTGAATAAAACAGACCACATACTAGTAGAAGTAGAAGTAGAAGTAGATGGTTAATAAACAAGATCATGACGAATATGTACAGTAAGTTAGATGGTGACATGCTGTGAAGCACCAGTAGGGACTTCAGTAGGGTAGGAACGTGCGTGCATGTGTGTGCCTGTGTGTGTGCACACGTGTGCACGTGACATCTTATGGCTTGGGATATCTATTTGGCAACGAGGAGGGGAATTTCTTTGACAGTGGTGATTGGGAGTTTAGTTGTGTAGGAAGAACGGGAAAGAGAGATTGCAGTTGTTAAGACAGGAAATGATTCAAGTTTGGGTAAAGTTTTTTAACAATGAGAAATGAAGAGAAACAGAACCACTTTAGCATGGCAATAATTACATTTCTGGGTTTGCGTAAGGGATGTTGAGAAACTTCTGGTTGCAAACCAACGTTTTGTTTCCCTGAAGCCCTTCGCAGTCTTGGAGTACTGTTTAGATTTCGGTTCCTTAGAGTTCTTCATGATATGGACTAAATTCACCGTCCTATCCCACGGAGACCAAGCTGTTTGTGCATCTCACACCTGATTACTTTAGACTGGAGTATTTGTGCAGAAAAACCCTGCTTCTTAGATGTGGTTTTGATTGGTGTCTTTGGAATGAGGGCCTTATCAGCTGTGGTGTATATACTAGTGTATATAGTCTTTTTGCCAGAAATATTGACCCACCCTTTACCAGAAATATCCCTATCCCAAAATATCACATTAGGAGTTTATGGCTAATAATGCTTCAGTAATATTTGCTTATTTGTATAATATTCGGTTAAAAACACTCTCAGGCATATTCATTACCTGTAAGTCTCTCAGTAACTCTGTGGTTATCAGGGCAGGAATGTTATACCCTTTCCACAGATTCAAGGAGGCTGAGCGAGTTACCCAAGTGTGTATGACAAATAATGATCCTCTGTACTGTTGACTATGTATGTGTCAGACAGTGTTTAAATGCTTTTTACATATTAACTCATTCAGTCCTCACACACAGCTCAGTAAAGTGGAGACTGTTTATAACATCATTTTACCATCAAGGAAACAGACACAGAGAAGCTATGACTGGCTCAGCCACACACAGCTTGGATATGGTGGAGCTCAGAACCACCAGTGTCTACACTCCGAACCACCAGGCTATACTCCTTTTGTTCTGGAAAGCAGATCTCCCAGCTGCTACCTATTTTAGGGAGTTTTTAACTTCACACACAACATCACCACAACGGTGACAAATGTTGGAGCAGTAAAGGGCAGCAGTGTGGATGGGAAAGACCAACAGTTTTGGAGAGTGACCTGAGCTCCAGTTCATTTGGTTATTTTGCAGTTGGGTGAGTTCCTTAAGCTCCCTAGAATGTCTGATTCTGTCTGTGAAATAAGGGGATAGTGATACCGCTCACAGCATGGTGAGCATTCGATGGGTGTCCTATTAAAGCATCTAACTTACTGTCGGACGTGTAATAGGTGCTTACTGCTTGTACATTTCCTTCCTACATGAAGGATCGTCACTAGGCTTGGGTCAGAGGAACAGTTAGGGACACGGTAGCGAAGTAAACTGTAAATGGTGCTGGCTGTTTTGCATAGCCTTTGAGAAACTCAGGGTGGGACTTGTGTAACCTAAGAGAGCAAGCAGCTCAGGTCGCGGTGGTGAGCGAGGGCACGGTTCCTCATGGGTGAGGCTTAGAGGGGCTGCTCTTCAGTGAAATATCATTTCAAAGTCTGGGTAACAGGTGAAGCAGCTGGTGCGGGGGTGATTCTCCCTTCTGACCTCTTGATCTGCCCTTGGTCCTTGCTTCTGGGAAGATGCTTCCCTGAACTTCATGGTGGTCTCCATAGGGCTGCCCAAGCTTTAGGTAGAACAGAAGTTCTCAACTTTTAATTTAAGGACCCCTTTCACTCTTCAAAATTATTGAGAACTCTAAAGATTTATTTACGGGGGTTAACTATTGATATTGACAGCGTTAGAAGTGAACACAAATTTTAAAATGAATTTTTATTGATCATTCAAAAATAATAACTTATTACCTGTTCACATAAGTAACATCTCTTTTATAAAATAATTAGATTTTTGGGCTTCCCTGGTGGCGCAGTGGTTGGGAGTCCGCCTGCCGACGCAGGGGACATGGGTTCGTGCCCCGGTCCGGGAAGATCCCACACGCCGCGGAGCGGCTGGGCCCGTGAGCCATGGCCACTGAGCCTGCGCGTCTGGAGCCTGTGCTCCGCAACGGGAGAGGCCACAGCAGTGAGAGGCCCGCGTACCGCAAAAAAAAAAAAAAAAAAAATTAGGTTTTTAAAACAAATAGAAAAAATAGACTTTTTTCTGGTATTATTTTACATTGTTTACATTGTTCTGGAAATCTCTTTATATCTGGCTCAACAGGAGACAGATGAATTCTCATGTCTGCATCTGCATTCAGTCTTTGAGGTATTATACATCACGTAGCTTTTTGCGAGAGAATTTGTGTGGAAAAGGCACAGATCATCTTTGAATTAGTATCAAAGTAGTTTTGACCTTATGGACCCCTTGGAAGAGTCTCAGGGACCTTTGAGGACCACTAATGTAGAATATCTTTTTCTCTTTAAACATCTTTTTTCAACATTCTTACAATTTCTTCTCAACGCCTCCCTCCTGATGCCTGTATTCAAGTGATCATGATGGATAATAATTCTTCCTTCAGCATTCTTGGCTTTGGCAAGACTGGAGATAGTCGATTCAGAGGTCTCCCTCCTTCTCTCCCTCCTTCCCTCTCTCCTTTCCTCTTCTCTTCCCTTCCTATCCTCCTTCCTTGCTTCACAACCTGGGGAGTTTTTCTGGTGCCTCCCGACTGGTCTCTGTGCCTCTAGAACCTGACAGTTGCCAGGTTGTGTTTTGCTTGACATCATTCACAGTCTACTTCCTTCCTCAAAATTCTTGGTCTTGTCTGACATTTATTAATTCTGGCTTTTGTTTTATAAATATTTCAAAAATGTTTCCAACCCCAAATTTTTTTGAGATGTGTAAAGAATTTGTGGCATGTTCATGGCAGAGGGTAATATCTGCGAACTTCAGAAACTATGCGGCAGAATTCTGCTGCCAGCCAAGACTGAGTCACTGGGCCTGGATTTTCTTTCTCACCAGAGACAACAACGAAAAGCACTCCATAAAATACATGAAACCAGAGGTTTTAAAATACTGGACATCAGCCAGTGAAGGACAGTGGTCCCTGAGAGGAAAACAAATGAGGTGGACCTTATGAATGCTCTTGGTCACCAACTGAGAGAATTTTCAGGCCATGGAGGGTGTCCAGCCAATTCCCTGGGGAAGGGTCCAGGCAGAGTTCGCCAACTTCCTGAATGGGTGTGATGGAGCTGAGAGCCAAGGGAGACCAAGGTGGCTACAGTTCACAGAAAGGATGCCAGAGGAGAGGGAGCTGGAGCAAGAGAGAACTTCAGATCTGCAGAGGGCCCCCTTTGAGAATCAGCAGAGGGCTGCACGCCGTCGCTCTCTGTCTGGTCCCCGCGCAGGCCCTCGGGCATCCCGTACTTGGGCAACGAGATCAGCCTCATCTCCAAGGCGCAGATCCGCTACGAGGGCATTCTCTACACCGTCGACACGGACAACTCCACGGTGGCGCTCGCCCAAGTGAGGTCCTTTGGTACTGAAGACTGTCCCACAGATAGGCCTGCCCCCCCTAGAGAGGAAGTTTATGAGTACATCATCTTCCGGGGAAGTGACATCAAAGACATTACTGTGGGGCTTCCGTGGTGGCGCAGTGGTTGAGAGTCCGCCTGCCGATGCAGGGGACACGGGTTCATGCCCCGGTCCGGGAAGATGCTGCGGAGCGGCTGGGCCCGTGAGCCATGGCCGCTGAGTCTGCACATCCGGAGCCTGTGCTCCACAACGGGAGAGACCACAGCAGTGAGAGGCCCGCATACCGCAAAAAAAAAAAAAGACATTATTGTGTGCGAACCTCCGAAAGCTCAGCACACGCTCCCTGCTATTGTTCAGTCTTCCCTGGGCTCGGCCTCCTCCTTTCAGACACACGTGCCTTCCAGCCCCTTCCGAGGGATGCCGCCCTACAGCCAGCTGGCCGCCAGCTCCCTGCTCAGCCAGCAGCATACCGCTTCCTTGGGTTTAGGAGCTGGCTTTCCGGCTGTCTCAGTCAGCAAGAGCCCCATGGTGGAGCAGAGGCTGTCCAGACTGGTTCTCTTGATAACCTGAACACCGAAAAGCTGTTACCTGGCAAGGGCACCGCGGGGATGCAGCTCAACGGGTGCCCAGCCCCCCCAAGCAGCAAGGCTGCCAGCGATGTAGCTCAGCCGGCAGCTGGGCAGACTCAAGGGCAGGTGAACGATGAGAACAGAAGACCTCAGAGGAGGCGATCGGGGGACAGACGAACAAGGAATGGCTCCAGAGGGCAAAGCCGTCCAACTACCGTCAAGGAAAACACAATCAAGTTTGAAGGCGACTTTGACTTTGAGAGT